GCATGCACTTGTCAAAATTTGAAACATAATAAAGAATTGTGATAATGAACTTAGTAGTACAAAACTTACAAGTTAATAGTAGTAAGATGCTTAGTTTCAATGATTGCTTACACACGATTATTGATTTTGTTCGCACATTTATTAGTAAAAATTGAAAAAAATTGAATTTTATTTTTATTTTTTATTAAGAAACAAAAGTTAAATTGATTCAAAAGATAGTACCGAAAGAAATGAACATTTAAATAGAAATACAAATTGGTAGCAAAATTTTGACTACAAAAGTGTTATTTGAATTTTCTACTATAAAAGCAATTTCATCATCGTCTTTTAGATTAATTTCTTTCTTTGAAATTATTTCAGCTAGAATCAAGCTAAACCTCATTTTATGTTGGTCTCTTGCAACACGAATGATCTTACAATTCTGTCAAAAATCAGCATCCTCGTCTCTGAGATTCATATCACTTATATATTCGGTTATGTTTTGGTTAAAGATTCAATAAAACAAGACACAATTATCTAATATGATTCATTGAGTCTAAAGTATAAATACCTTCATAAGAGATTCTCAGGTACACGATTTCTCTAATATCCACATTCATTACGATTATCTTGAATCCTAACTGACTTGGACGTTGGAGTGTTAATCATGTAGGTACACTCTAGGTCCACCGCATCGGAGATTAGCAACAATAGTTCAAGGTTAACACCTCTGATTCCATAAGCACCACGATCGGAACCTCGAATTGAGGTGCTCCTCCCTTGAATCGCTTGAGATCTTTTGCTCCGTCATAGCTTTCGCAAACTCCTCTATGTCTAGTTCCGCAATGAAATATTAGTGTCGTATGTGGGAATCGACTTTCGATTTCTACGATTTCCACGAGGTCAGATTCGTTTCGCATTTTCGAAATCTGAATGTCAAAAGTGTCTTAGGTGAAGAATTAAAAGTCTTAATAAATCAAAATCTCATATTAACATCATTTAAATCTATCAAACTCCGAATCTAACTTTGATTGATCATTTACCTCAATCTTGAACCACCGTGAAAAGGCACTGACAAGCATTCATAGATCCATACTTAGATCTGAGGCATTCCAACCAGTCGGCCAAGAACCTTGATCCTTAACTCCCGTTGAGGTTTCCCCTCAGATTCAGGGTCAAGTTCACGGAGCCAGGACCAATCGAGTCTCATGTCACCTTCTCTCGGGCAACGTTTTGGGTCCATTTGTGCTGAATGAGTTTTCGAATAGATCTCCCTAAATCTGAGTCAACTGGAGATGATATGAAAAAGTAAGTTTTTGTATAAAATGCTAAATGCGATGTTCGTGGATGGATGAATGCGTATGAATATGCTAAGATTTTAATTTATGTCTTATTCACGTTGGATTTTCTTTTGTTACTATTATTTTTGCATGTACATTTTTCAGGTTTTGCTTTTCATTGGCAAGTATCCCAAAACGCATACACAAATAAGATACGGAAACAAAGATACTTTATCGAATAATAACCATCCTTAAAAAAGGGAAATACACTCCAAATACCTAAATAAATACTGAAGAGAAAATACTGAAAGGAAATACTGAATCAAACAACTAAATCAAAAACGAATGTCAAACCCTAAAGGAAATAACAAAAGAAACTAAGATTTCCTAAGAACGTTTACGGATCTACGCCTTAAAACCATCAACCATCCCCCTACAAAGCTTGAGGAAGTCTCCAATGTCCTTCGGAAGAGGGATCATCACGGCCTCTACATCTCTCAAGCTTCTAGAACTATCACCAATGAGATTATTCGCCAAAAAGGCAAGCTTTGCATGCTTGCCTTTGTACCTTAGATACTCCTTGTATAATGTCGAGATTATGATCTTGTTGTCTTCTCCCGTTTAAGAAATCCTTTATATTGTTCTTCCCAATACATGTTTCCTACCCTCATCTCCTTATAGAGTTCCCTTTGTATGAGGAAATCCTTTCAGAGGCCTTATAGCTCTTGACAGATTTGTTCATACTCCTTTGTCTTTTGGGAGATAATTCTTTCTACCCCCATGTTCATAATGCGTTCACCTACCTCTGACTCTTGACTATCTTGGAGATGTGTAATGAGATTTTGGATCTGATCCCCTAGGTCTTGGATATTCTCTTTCAATCCTTGGATTTGGATTCTCAGAGCCTCTTCCATCTCACTCTTGTCTTGCAATTCTTTATCATACCACCTTTTTAGTCTCCCAATTTCTCTAGCAGTATCATCCAAATGTTGGTTATGAGAATCAAGATTGAAAGTAGCACTGAATAACCCTTCAGTCGAACGCTTTTGCTTAAGCCTCTCATTTTTAAACAATTCACAATCTTTTTGAATATGTTGATCTTTCATCTCAAGCTCTTTTTGTAACTCGTTCTTCTTATAAGCAAGGTCATATAGCTCATGCTCTAGACCCTCCTTTTTCCTTTGTGCTTGCTCAAGGCCATCTTTTAGTTTCTCTATTTCCTCCACTGACATTAGAAGAGGATTTGGCACATCTGGTGTGTATGTAGGATCAATGTCAAATGGCAACTTGATGATTCAGACTCTGTCCAAAACCCATTGAGTATATGGTTCCCTTGCTATAGCATTCTTCCTTCCAAATTCATCGTCTTTCTTGTGGACTCTACTCCAAGCTTGGATGATCTTTACAAGTAACTCGGGGTCATTTTTATCCATATCATAAAGAACCAATGATCGAATCTGCTCGTCAGAAGGTTTATCTTCCAAAGGGTACCTAAGTCAAGGTAAAGTCAAAGTGGGGTTATAGTTGATACATCCTCTTGTTCCAATCAGAGGAATGTTTGGAAATTCACCGCAATTATAGACAATTCTCCTGTGTTCAACTTCCTAGCATACCACAAAACTGAATCAGCACTGAGAGTCCTTAACCTTTGAGACCATTCATTCCTAGTCAGATCTTTAACCATATAGTCCTCCTTGTAGAGGTGAGTAATGAGCTAAGAATATAGAAGACGAATGCAACAATTTAGGACACTCCTCCCTTTTTCATTTCGGGTATGAAGGGAGTAATAAATATCAGCAAGTAAAGTAGGAGTAGGATCTGCATTCAAAACTTTTACGGCCCAAAATACATCAATGGCCGCAACATCAATATAGTCCACAGTATTTAGAAATAAAACTAAACCAAAAATAAGTAATGTCAAGAAATCTACACAAGCTTCTCATTCTTTCTTATCAGTAAAAGAAAAAGCCTTGGACTCTAAGTACTACCTTTTAATACCTTTAACCTCATCATCTTTTTTGTAATTAAGTAGCAAATAAGTGAAAGGTATCCATAATTCCTTAGCCAAGTCTCGCACCTTGATAGTATTTTCAATTCCTATGTAAGTTGCATCTTTGATTCTGGAGAATCCCAAAATTTTATCAAATTCCTCCAAACTAGGTGCCAATTGGAAATTTTGGAAAGTGAAACATCTGAGCGGAGGGTCATATAACTAAACTAGAACAGTATTTGCTTCCACTTGTACAATCACCTTGGTAAGCTCAATGATATCTCCATAGCATCGAACAAACATATTCATAGCTCTTTCAGGTTGTTTTCCTCTAATTATTTTCATTTTCTCCATATCAGGTATAAGAGTAACACGGACAATTTGTTTATTGTTGGTATTCATTTTTTAGATACTCACCAAAAACCTTTGATTGTTTTTTTTTTAAATCTTGTGAATAAGACAAAACAAATCCAAAAATAATGAATATTTTGAAATGAAATGATAAATGTATGCACGGTGATGTAACATGGTAGTGAGATTGTAAAAATTATCCTTTTAGAGTTCTCCTGCTTCAATAAGGATGGACATTGGCTGAATTTCATGCTTCGGTTTTTGGAAAAGGGTTGAACATAATGACCTCAATAAGGAAGAAGAAGCAGAACACGAATTTGTTTTATTTTGATTTTGATATGCAGAACACGAAGAAGAAGCACAGTGATAAAAAGAAGCACAGTGGAAATAAAGAATATGAAGTACCTCTGCCTACTCAGTTGTCACGTATACTAACATAAACAGACATTTGAAGAAAATTGACGGAAAGGATTCATATGCCTCTATTTAAAAATTAAGGGATCAATGTGACAACTTTTTTAAGTAAGAGGCCAAAGTAAGTATAGTTAATGGATTAAAAATGGTATTTTGCTTATATGTACCATCTTCCACTTAGCGAAAGACATTTTTAATCTTTTATATTATGTAGAGTAGCCTGAGAATAAGAATTCTTGATATATGAACTTAAATTAAGATACCAATTCACAGAACTCTAGTTTCAAAATTCACCATCATGATTCATGTTCTTGGTTGTGGGAAATTTCGTTGAGTATTACCATGTATAGAGGGAACCATAGTAAATGAGGGAAATTAGGATAAACAGACACATATAATAAAGAATGATGGCCAGTGAACGACAAGAATTTGCTTGACAAGAATGTAAGCAAATTAATACAAATGATTGAATATCAAGCTTCATGCTGCTTGGTTCCTCTTTATCATATCAAGCAACATTAATACAAGTAATGCACTTTTTATCTACTCATTCATTTTAATATTTCACCATTCTATTTGACGTGTACATCTTTCACAAATGATTGAAGAACATTACATAATCTAGTTTCTGTATTTTCTAAAGTACAAAAATCATATCAAATTCTAAAGGAGATTGTCTACATTTCAAAAAAAGTTTAAACATGATTAAATTAAGAATGGCAAACAGAGTTAAAATAGTGTACATGCAAAATCAATGCAGCAAGATTAATAGACTTAGAATAGTGCAACAAAACAAACAACCCTTTTTTAATATACATTTGGTTTATATACATACTTGCAAACAGCTGTTGTTTCAAAACAATAAGTACATAGCAGCTTCGCATTAGATGCATAGGCAATAGCATTGCTTCAAAAACCAAAAGACTTTGCCCAATTACTAGTAGTCATTTGGATTCTCCGGTAGGTATTACAGTTAGCAAATCCCCCTAACGATAAGCATCCAAATCACATAGGAAGAAGGGATCCATTGATGTTTTTTCTGTAATCTTAAAAGCCAAGTCCAATGCTGCATTGTTACCAAGAGAGTAATTTCCTTGAGGTTGTGAAGTTACACAGTAGTAGTCACCACACATACTAGGCATCTTTTCTTTCCCTTTAAGAACTTGAGTGCTCTTCTGCTTATTATTGTCAATAATGACCATAGCTTCCTTTAGCTTCTTGCTTTCCTCCACATATGGCTACATGAAAAAGTATTTAGAACTGTCAAATTCGAAACAAAAATATTAAACCTTTTGACAATGTTGTGTCTATTTCATTTTGACAATGTTGTACCTGTTTATCAATGTCTGACAAATTCTTCCATCCTTCGACAGCCGTGAGCAGGATCGCTTTGCCATCTATGTCCTGACGACAAGCTTTTAATCGGGCACATTCGTGCTTGAGGAATATTTGGTATCCGTTTGCCCCCCTTGGAACACCGCGTGGCTTCTTCTTTTGTTTGTCATTTGAGGGTGCTTGTAGAAGCCCTTCATGTAATGCTACATTAGTACAAATATATATGTTGGAACCTCGATAATTTTAGTTACTAAAGTTGGTTCGGTTCTGTTATAAATTTTGAATCAACTATAATTCGTTAGCTATATCAATGAATTAAGAAATGTGAATTAGAGTTTAAAAAGCACATACTCAACTTAATACCAAAATGAAACAAGTTAAAACGAGCAGAAATTAGTCTTCTAGATTAACCTTTGGTGGTGTGAGTTACGGTTTGAGTTGCACGAAACCTATAGAAGTAAATTTTCTCAAATTCATATAGAAGATTTGCATAGAGCCTTTTAATCTGAGATGGTAGCTTTGCATTGTTTCCTTCCAGTTTTAGAGCTGAAACAACTTCACCCCATTGCTTTTGTTTACCAACCTACAAACATTCAAGAAAAACAATCCATACAATTTGGATTGACAAATGAATCATGCATTTATGAGAAATGAACATATGAGAATAAAGAGAATCATGTGAAGGGTTTTAAAAAAGGGCCGCAACCGCCCACATTGTGGTTATTTCACACCGCGACAACTGCAATCAATGTCGCAACATCGAAATCACTTATAACCGCTGCGACGATTTTGTAAAACGTGATTAGGCAGGTAACTTGACAAGTACCTGTTTGTAACCTCCTCTTTTAACGACCTCCAAGTAAAAGTTGAACAAGTCTAAGGATGTTTCTCGGACATTGAATCTGTCAAGTAGAAAACATATAAAGAGCAACAATAACAAACCATTTCAGTTATGTGGCATTTGGGTCTACAACCGCATTCCTCAATACAAAGAAAGAAAGTACGAAGGGGAAAAAAGACATGAGTTTGATGCATGCATGCAATTTTTACGCAACCGAAACAGATAAGTGAAGAGAATGAGAAAAGGACTAACATGAGAGTGAGTCCAGAGGAGTTTAACATGTCGGTGAGTTTCACGTAGAAAGTCTCTATCTCTTCCGGAAAACAGTATTGTTTCTCTCCGTCGCCGAACACATCAACAATGGTGAGTTGTGTTTCTGGAACTATCATCTTCAACATCTCTTCATTACATTCCATGATTTTAGTTTGTTGTTCTGGGTCGACTTGTTGAAATGGAAAACGTTATACATATGTATGTATTACCTTTGATACAATGGAAAATGAAAATTCATAGCTGAACTCATTCCTCTGCTGACACCTATGCACACTCCTCCCATACACGTGTCAATTTCATACATCACATATCAAATAACGTGAACTTTTTATAATCTCTGCCCAATTCTAAGAGTTGATCAGTCACTTATCACATTATTAAAACTAATTTATTAATTATTTTTAGTTTATAATTTAATATTTATTTTTCAAAAACATTTTTATTAATTCTGCTAAATTAAAATCAAACTCAAAATCAATTCTGCTTATCATTCCTCCTCCCTGACCCATCACCTTCCTTATTCTCAAGTAGAGAAACAAAAAAAAAATGCAACAATTCATCCAAGATATCAAATCTGAATAGAATAGGAAGAAGGAAGAATCAGATCCTTGTGTTGTATCAGACGTTACTCATACCGCCGCGAATACCCACCGGACCTCCGTCTATGAAGCTGCCCACCACGTTCCAGAAGTAACCGCAAAGCCTCCACTCACCGCACGCCACTTCCAACTGACCGGACTGCTCCGTCGAACAAGCCATCCACCGTGAAAGAACTTTGATTTCGTTGGGTGTTGGTGTTGCAACGTATGGTGAAGCGCTAGGGTTAAGGGGATTGGGAAGGACCATTCTATTCCTTAATGAGAAGAGAGCATCAGCTTCAATAAGCGATTTTAAAAGCATCACGTTAGGATATAAGCGATTCTGTGAGAAGTCAAAATGGTGGAATTGAGAAATTGAGAATACTGCTAACTGTGTTTATTCAAGAAGTTAATTAATGACTGTAGTTTAAACAAGTGTTTATCTAAGAAGCTACTTCACAACGGTAGTTTAAATTGAGAATACTGCTAATATTTTTTTGTTTGAGTTAAATAATTATTTATTTATTCTTTTATATTAATTAAAATATTTTTGAAAAATAAAATATTAATTATAAATTAAAAATAATTAATAAATTAGTTTTAATGACGTAACAATAGACTAAACAACTCTTAAAATATCATGTCATTAAAATAACTGATAAATAATTAAGAATTATAAAAAATTCACGTTGTTTTTTTTATAGAATGACTAAAAGTACATTTAAATTTATATAATATAATATTAACTATTTGGATTATTTTATTTTTTATTGGAATGGTGAAAATTAAATTTGAATAACAATCACTTATTCACAATATATTACTATGAGTCGATATAACTGATCTAACTTGATCAGAGTTGCACCGTCACAGCTGGTTTCAGACTGGACTTGAATGAGATGGGAGGGGGTACCTGCAAGATACTTCGATGACAAAGTGAGAAGCAGAATAAGCAAGCAAGTATGAGTTTTAGGTGTGAATGAATGAATACCTGACCCTCTCGAAAGAGAGGGTATTTATAGCCTCCAGCGATGGGTCAAGGTCTCTTTATTGGGCTGATCAAACAGGCCCAACAAAGAGACTGTCAGGTTCTACGCGTGTAGTGGGGACCCGCACATGGCCCCCTACCTGGATGACGTCCTCCGCAAGACATGGAGGATAGAGACGCGATCTTTTCGGGACCATGAAGACTCCACGAAATCCGGAGAGGTTGAAAGTCAGCCCTACGAGGAAGGTGCTCGGGGGGAGCGCGTGCTCGTCGGGGACGATCTCCGCGAGCACCGACGGGAAGCAGTCATGGTCGACCAGACATCTGTGATTGGGGTGTGCTCGGTGGAAATACTGCTCAGCACAGCAGGTTGGCAAGCTTGGATTGGGCCTCACTGGTAGTTGGGCCAAGGGCAGACCCAGTCCAGAACAGGAGCCCTCAAGTCGTTGCTCCTGGTAAGGGAGTTATGACTTGATTCAAGTTCGCCCCTTCGCGAGACTCGCTGCACGACACATGGTTTTTCTATCGTGGACGTCAGACGTCGCCCGGTTCGTGATTTGCTTCGTGAGCGGTCGAAGAGTGTTCGAGGAGTACTCGCGGGGAGAGGATGATACACTAGTCAGACAGGTGGCGTGGCTCTTGAAAACCACAATGGCGGCCTAGGGAGTAGGGGTCATCATTGTCTACGCGAGTAGGTGTCGAGGATGAAGGCGGTTTGTGATTCTCCGACGCGACGTTTCGCATTCCGCGTCATCTCTATAAATAGGGCTTCATGGCCCATAACTTGTTTTCACATTTTCACGCTCTCATATTTTCTCTGCCGTCAACACCGCGTGTTTTCCTAGTGTCGTTGAGACCGCCGCACAGTCCACTGTGTGTTCATCTCCACAACTGTCGCTCTTCACTCTTCTTCCAAGTAAGTGTTCTTTTTCTTTGCTATCTTGTGTTGTAGATAGATTTTGATGGTGTTTAGTGGTAGAATTTCGTGTCTGGGGATTGTAACGCCAGTAATTTAATTAATTATTTAATTAAATTATTTTTGGAATAATTGTGAAGAAGTGTTATTAAATTGGATTTATTTTATTAAATGAAGAAATAATAATATATTTGAGGTATTATATTATTATGTGAGATAATGTTAGAAGTTAATATTATTGATGTGGGCCTATATTGTGTGAGAGGAAGTAATAAGGGGGTGTAGGTTTGGAGCCCAATAAAGAATAATATAATAATATTAGGTTATTTTATTATTTGTTGAAAGAATAGAAGGAGACAGTAGTAGAAGGAAAATTTAGGATTTGGGAAGAGAACGTAAAGCTGCTAGAATTTGAAGGAAACGGCAAGAATGAAGATTCAACCCGGAAATTGTAGAGCGACCTTCGATCCAAGGTAAGGGTGGGGTTCTGGCTTTATAATTGGGTTCATGATGTTTGATATGTGGGGTTAGAGGTAGTTGTTGTTTGTTCTTGAATTGAATGCATTATGAATGATGTATGATGAATATTAATGAATTCTCGATGGATAAATGATGTTATGATGTTGTGTAATTGATGTAGTATTGTAAGTTAATGATTAGGTGATGAACTACCATGTTTATAATAAGGTTTTTAGTGCTGTAGTATGATTCCCGTAGCAAAATACAGTAGAAAATGCAAAAAATTATGCAGGCTGTCGAAGGATGTGTCGACCCCAAGCTGCATGTGTCGATGCATGAAGGATATTCGACTCAGGATGAGTCGATGCATGCAGGGCTTGCGTCAATGCATGTTAAGTATAAGACTCATGATGAGTCGACGCGAAGAGAGGATGTGTCGATGCATGATGAGTACAAGACTCAGGATGAGTTGACACGAAGAGTGCATGTGTCGATACATGCTGTATTGGAAGCCAGAATGAGTCGATCCAAAGGAGGATGTGTCGACTCATAGTACACATATGAAGCAGGAGGAGTCGATGCATACTGAATAATTTTGACATAATCAGTTTTTAAATTGCTGTAACTTGAGTTTTAAGATGCTGTTTGAGATGCCGTTCGAAGCGTTGATTAGCTAACGCGATGAACTTTATTCTAGATGATTAAATGATGATTAAGAAGTGTAATCCTAGTACTAATTTATGATTTAGGATTAATTCTTGTAGATGACAGTTATGCTGAATTTTGGACAGAATGATAAAAATGAGATGTTAAAGACTGCTGTTAGGAATTATGACAGCAGGATTAGTATCAATAACGATGTACAGTAGCAGAATAATAGTATGGATTACTGTATTATTAATATACAGCTGAACTATTAGTAAGATGTGGTTATTAAAGTTGTGTTTGATAATTATGATGAACCAATGATGTTTGATAAATAAGTAATGTTTAATAAATTATTTTGAGATGTTTATGAGATATTGTTGTTCTGAGATGTTTATGAGATGTTGTTCTGAGATGATTGAGATGTTGTTGTTTGAGATGACTGAGATGTTGTCGTTTTGAGATGACTGAGATGTTGTCGTTTTGAGATGATTGAGATGTTGTTGTTTTGAGATGTGTTCTGAGATGTTGTTAACTGGGTGTGTTATTACATTCATGGCATACATTGCATTTTTGAGATGGAGCTTATGCTCGTTGAGATGGCCTGGATTGGAAAATTTTGAGATGAAGGTTATGCCTTGCTGATGCCTCTATTAATTGACAGATTAGATTTTTGAGATGGGAGTTCTGCTCCAATGGTACCACATGCATTTGCATAGTTTTGAGTCGCATCATATGAATGAATAATGAGATGTATTTGATGTTAACGAATGAGTATATATGTTGTAATTGTTGTTGATTATGAGATGAGAAGTGGTGATATTATTGATCTAATTTAATATATTAATTATCATGCGCTTTATTATATTGTTAGATATCTTACCCCTTCTGTTTGAATGTTGCCCCTATGTTGGTCACGTGCAGGTAATCGAGAGTGAAGGTTGTATACCTTCAATAGATCAAGTCGGTGTCATTGCTCTGATATGTAACACTCGGGGGGATGAACGCTTGTTGATTTTTGATTGCTGATTTTTAGTTGTTGAACTTTAAATTGTTTATTTACTAAATATGAGATGTTTCGAAGTTATTGTTTTATTTAAAGATGTTATTGAAGAATTCCGCTGCGTAGTTGTTGAATTATTTAATGAAAGATGTTATGTTGATGGTTCATCTGATGTTTTGAAAAAGTGTTATATATCCATGAGGAATGCAATGAATTTGTTAGAAGAATTTGTGACGTCCCGATTCATTTGTATGAATGAAATTTTATAACTCTGATTTATTTTGCATAATTTGCTTGGGTAGAATTTGGGTGTTACAAAGTTTATGCCCGGGAAATTCAAGCACTTTAGGCGTCTGATTCATGATCATACCCGCAGTGTTCATAGGTTTAGGCATACGGTTTATGATCGTGCCCGTGATATTCATGTGTTTGGCTAATAGATTTATGAACTTGGTCGGGGGATTCATCCTTTCGTTAGTATGTAGGCTAGTTTTCCCCGTGGTATTCTTGTATCTGGCTAGCAATGCTATGAACTTGGTCGTGAAATTCATCCTTTGCTCGCGATATTCTTGTTGTGCCCGTGACATTTATGATTGATATATGTCCGCCGTTAAGGTCGGTGTTTGATCGAGGTCCATGTGTTCCCCATCTTTCGTGCGAATGGTCGTTGACTAGGCCTGAGTGTTGCTTATTTCTCCCCGTCTGTGTGGCGGAACAGCGGATTTGCTGTCGAATTCACTGGTTTCCTGTACTTTGCAGGTAAATGGCCGATATTCCCGAGTCCTCGGAGCATATTGATATCGAGGAAACAAGCACTACCGAGGAAAGCATGAATCTGGTCGACACCGTCGACAACCCTACCCTGGACTGGGTTGGTGCAGAACCCCGGGGGATAGCTTCGATCTATAGCTATACCGGTAGGCAAGCTTACACTGTCATCGAATACGGCGGCAACCAGGAGGGATTTCGGAGAAATTTTAAGATCATGAGGCCGACAAGGGATGCCCGCATTTGCTCGGAGTTTACACAGGACGCCTTCCCTATGTACGAGATAATGTTTAAAGATCGCGGGCTCCGGCTACCTTTCAACGATGAAGAAACGCATAGGATTCCAACCCTCTCCTACATAGGGGGAGTTTTGCATCTTAGGGGGAGAAGCTCTTCCGGAAAGTACATCGCATAAAGCAAGGTTGTTTGTCATCATCAAAAAGGGGGAGAATGTAAAATCAAGCTTCACAAATGAGCTTTTGTTTTGATGAAGACAAACCATGGCTAACAAAGAAGGCAAAGACTTTTGATCAAGCTCAAAGC